GGTCTTGGTCTTGTCTCGGTCTTGATACACTCTGGTCTTGGTCTTGTCTTGGTCTCGGGTTGGGTGGTCTTGAACACAACACTGCCTGTTACTATTTTGTATTTTAGGTTAGAAAAATTGTCTCTTCTTAAAAAGTGTTCAAGGCCAAATGTTCCAAAAACAACGGGAAGTTGTACAATAATTACAAGCCTGTTGTTTTAAAGTGCTTTACAAATAAAATTGGCACTGACAGGTGTTACGATACTACATATTGAAAATGCAAACTAGTTCCTTTCAGCACAAGGATGGAGGGTAATTTCTAAAGAAATCGGCTATTCACAGAGTGCTGGATCCTGGAAAGTTTAGTGTTGCTTTGAAGCATAAGATTATATTGATCCCACAGCAGAAACAGGCAAAACAGCCGGTAGAGAGTAAAAAAAATAAATAAATAATAATAATAAGAATAATAAAGGATGATAGAAATTATAGTGCTAAAATGATTAAACAATAGTAAAGTATTTGATTGTTATGCAATATGTGTGTACAATATGATGTACTGCACACCTGTCATGGTTGAGTGATCAGAGGTGAGATTTAATTTGCAGCAGCGGAGATAGAAAATGCCAGAAGTGTTTACAACTTACCTCACAGCTTTAATATGTTGGTGTTTTAAAGTTATTTGCTTTTATGTGGTTGCAGTTAAAACAATCATCTACTGCACAGGTGTCAAACTCCAGTCCTGGAGGGCCACTGCCCTGCAACTTTTAGATGCCACTCTGCTGCACCACATCTGAATAGAATAATTAGGTCAAGTGACGTGTACCTGTAGCACATCTAAAAACTGCAGCACAGCGCCCCTTGAGGACTGGAGCTTGACACCCCTGATCTACTGAATTGCTGAACTGTTAATCATTTTCTATTCACCTTATTACAGAGTGAATGCTCGGAAGAAGCCTTCTAATTTAGTGGAAGACAACTCCAAGTACCCACAATAAACTAATTAAAGCCCATTTACTGTAGCATTGCTCAACACTATGTGCGTTTTCACTAGAGTGAACAATTTAAAATCTTAGATCCATTTGTAACAGTGGCTCACCGTTGCAGTGTATTTGTGTCAGCTTCTTCACATCATCATTTTTCTTTCTCATTTGTTTTCATGGTCAGTTACTACCTATTCATCAGCAGGCAGGAAAGCCTGCTGATGAATAGGTAGTATTCATTCATAGGTGAAACTCTATTGAGTTTCACCTCCACTCAATAGAAAAAGAAGGCCAAACGCTTCTAGTTACAATAGGTAACACCCAAAGAAGTTCATATTCACTGTTGTTGGGAACTGTTACCTTGTAGCATTTTTCCAATTACTTGATTTAGGAAATGCACTTCACAGTAAATTTCGCAGTGTTAAATATGCAGTGTCACAATTCATTGACTCTTTCAGAGCTATTGCAACTACAGATTGAGTATAATGCCACCTAGTGTTGGTGAAAATTTCCAGAGTGAATAGACGTCGTGTCAATTTGACTCCGACAAGCTCCGCCCACCTCCTCCTCTCAAACGAACAAGTCTAACCGTTGCATGGACGCCATTTTTCTCCTGCTCCAACGGCTGTGGTAAGTTTTTTTACGGAGCCCTCCAGGGAACATGGGGAATTTTTTTTCTTTTGCGTTCCCTCGCAAAACTTTTGCGTTCCATCGCAATAATCTACTGATCAGTTCATGCGGCATAATTGATACTGTAAGCCTTTTTTTACGGTGGCCGCCGTACTTTCTGCTTTAATACAAGCTTATAAGGTTTTTCCATGGACTATTGAGTTATTATCGCGGGCAATCAGTCATCTGATTGCGTCTCTATTGTGTTCGTAGTCTGAATGGTTTAAAGGGCTGCTTTCAGTGCCCTTCCATCTTAGCCTTAATAAACATGCAGTAAATAAATCGATTTTCAATCAGTTTTTTGCACCAAAGCGTTAATAATAATAAACACGTTTTCACTGAGGCTCTATAAGAGCCATATGAATGAAATAAGTAATTATTGATATGACAGGAGCAGCGACTTTGACACCTGGTGGTGGGCGTGTCGATGTGGGAGTGACGTCATCAAGTATGAATGGGAAGGTTACTGGCTGCTGCCAGTAACCTCATGCCAGTGTATGAGGAAGCGGGTGAGCTGGGTGGTCAGTCCTCGCAAAGTTTGGAGCATGATACTAAAAATGTAAAAAAAATCGATAATTGTGACAGAACAAAGAAGAGGTTAGGAGTTGATTGATACACGGACAGATGAGATTCCTCGAGTTAATCCAGTGCGGCCGTCTACCACCATTAGTTTGCTGTGTTTTATAATAATAAAACGCGGTGCAATTATATTAAGCTTTTTTTATGTTTTTTTTTTCTCAGGATAGTAAACTGCCTTGAGCAGCAAGGGAGTTCATTAACATTAGCACAAACATTAGCATTTCATGGGTGTCTCATGAAGATAGAAATCCTTCTCCACCTTTCTGTCTGACACACAGGGCAGTTGGCTGAGGATTAATCGCTATAGCAACAGAATACAGAGAAAGGCAGAGCTGCTGGTTTGGACTACTGCCATAACTGTAGTTTTATCTATGGCCAAGACTCAGTTAAAACAGAGGCCTGAGCAGCATGTCAGAACTACAACATGGCGGAACTGTCTGTTACTATAGTGGAGGACTTAGCTGGTATTCTGAACTACTTGTGTTTTGGGCTTTATATAACTGATTTAACCCGATTACTATTACACATGGAATTAGTGTGGCAATTTCAAATGAAGCTTACTGAAAGTTTCAAAGTTTCAAAATAAAAGCTTCATTAATCCCCTCTGGTAAGTGCACCGCCACAGGTGGTGCACTTATATTAGCTTTAATGATCTTTTTTCCTTGAGTTAGTGCTCCACCTTATGCAGTACAATAATATGAGCCTTTTTTTTAGCATTTTCTTTCAAGTTATGGCATTGGCGTGCACAAGCCAGTGCATTAGCATTAGTATTTCACCTAAAATGCTAATGCAAAAAAAAAGGGCGTTTAGCTAATTTTTTTTACTTATTAGCCATGTTTAGTATACTGAATGGAGTAAGTGAATGACAGACAACATGGTAGTGGTACCCCACATTCTACTGATACCATTCATGCTATTATTAGCATTTTGGCTAATTTTACCGTATGCAACATACTGAATGGTACAAGTACAGCTTAGTCCACATGCTTCTGACTCTCCACAGGTTGTTGACTACATTGAAGCTTTCTTTAGCATTAATGCTAGTTTTTAGCATCAGAACGCTGGGTCCAATCCGAGGGGCACACTTTGGCAGGCCCCATTTAAATTTCTTCAGGAATTTTCTAGTTGAAATATGCTGTTATGTGACCGGCACACTTTTGACCGCATGACTTCGAACTGTGGGAATCCAAGCAGGTGCTAATAGTCCAGCTTTGTAGTTAACACAGCATTTTGGGCGCCAGTGGTCATTTCAGTTATACATAAATTGTGTATCTTTGTGACAAGTCAAAATGAATATAATTAATCCGGCTGTGAAATGTTAGTTTTTCATTGATTTTATTCTGATGTTTATAGAAAACATCTGTGGCACGTTTCTGGAGAAATGGATGACGACATTCAAAAGAGACATCGTCCAACAATGCAGAAAGTTTCCAACCAACAGGGAGCTTGAAGATCTCCTCCTGACAGCTGATTATACTGAGGATTGGACTGACGTGGATGATGACAACATCGGTAAGTTGTCTGCAATAGTACCAGGATTTGCCGAAACCAGCTCGTTGCTGCTAGTACATTTATATTATATTAGGTGTCGTCATGTGAGCTTCACTTAGTGAAGCGTACATAATTGAAATTGCAGAACCACAAAATTTTTCTGGTCGACAGTTTAACATAAAATTTCAATTTTCACAGGTTGGGACAGTGACGTCTCATCAATTTACTACTGCTACTTCTGGTTCCCCCCCTCTGCCATGGCTCATTATTAACCAGGGAAGGTGTCTTCGTCCCAAGCAGAGAAGCATCTTGTGATCTTCAAGAAGGTTTGTATTTGTTGCAAATTTTATTTTAGGTTTTATTCGAGTTTATTTCACTGAGAGAGTTTCAGTTTTCAGATTAAGACCTCACACATAGTTAAATGCTGTTTGCCCATATGAAGGCCGTAGTTTCTGTGTAATATTACAGTTATCGAATTGTAATGGTATTTTTCTTTTCTCAGAGCAGAACCAAAATCCAGGAATGTCTTGATGCCATTACGACGAGCACACAACCCTACCACCTGGCTGGAGGACAGAAGAAGAAGGCAGTCCACCAAAATGCCATTGCTTACAGGTCAACCTCCTCTCTTGGTGCCTTTGACAAACTGTTTAAGGGACTTTGTGTTTGCCACAGTATACAGCCCCATGCTGTGCAACATGTTTACATTCATCCAGATCACTGTGTACAACATAGACTTTAGCAAAGTATAGGAGAGTCCTCACGTGGCAGAAATTTGAGCCAAGTTTTAATTATACTTGACCAGTTATGTTTGCCATTAAGTGTTTACTTTGTGAGACAGTTAACTTGCACAAATGCACTTGTTCGGCTGATGGTGACACTTTGATTTTAGAGGGTACAGTAATTGCTGCAAAATTAGGGATTGTTTTGACAACTAGTGTGCTTTCTGCCAAGTAGATAAAATACTGTGGTACAGAGTTGTGTCCTGACTTTATCATATGTACTGAGATAGCATGTGAGATACCTGTATTTTGCAAAGGTAAAGTTATGTGCTGGAAAATTGATGGAAATCATGAGTTTTGATGACCACTACAAATCCCAAATTTTGCAGCAATTGCTGCACCCTCTGAAGTCAAAGGGTCACTTTATGGACAAGCTGCATGTAGACAATTTTCTAAATGTTTTGCATATAACTAATCTTTTCTACTTCAAACCATTTGATGTTCAAATGAAGTATGTTATGACTAATACTACCTTATATTTGGTTCCATATTGCCATTTTATACAGATCTGTGGTCATTTTGGTAGTAGTGTTTTTGGTAGTGCTGAAGTTAACTGTTTGTGGAGTTGAGATTGGTTGCTTGGCATGCCAGGCACACCTGAAACCATTTTTACTGTCAACTCAAAGCTCTAATGTATTGGGGTGTACACCATATGATATTACTGTAACACTAAAAGTTTACAATGGAACTTTAAACGGTGCTTTTGTTCAATAAAGTGAAGTTAAATGCATTTCTGTGGTATCTTTATTTTACTTAATTGTACATTCTAAAATCATTATTGAATAGCAATGGATTGATGCAACTGAACTCTACAAAAGGGTAGAAATAGCACCACAACAATGTGCAGTGTTAAATTTTGACAGAGTTGGTTTTTCACTGCAAAAGAGTAAATAATCAACACATACCGTGTTAAATTAACACTCTTAGGAGTTATATAAAGCTCCAGTGTTAACTCTCAATAACTCAATGCCGTGTTAAAAAGCATGAGTCCGAGTTCATTTGTCGCCAGTGTGGAGTAAATTATTAACTCTGCTTAGAATCATATTTAGTCTCATCAGTTATTTGACTCATAGTGTTAAGTTTTATTAACACTGTACAGTGTTAGGCAGTGTTAATTTTTAACTACTTTGAGTTAAATTTTACTGTGAAAATGTAACACTATGGAAAGAGTTAAATTAACACCAATTCCAATAAGGACCAAACAGACTCGGACACAGTGTTAAATTTAACTCTTTAAGTGTTGATTTAACACTGCAAAATGTACTGATATAGAGATACATCTCTGTAAATAAACTCAAAGAAGGCTAGACTCCCTTTCCCCGTATACCCTAGGACAGAGTAATAGGATGCATCTGGTTCCTGTACACAGCAAACTCATATCCTGTCCTTCATCTCTCTGCTTCCAAACGCGAGCCGCTCTGCATTTAGATGGGACGGTGGCTTTATTCTGACGCGCTAGTCTGGAATCAGTTTGAAAAGGTCACACCAACATGTAAGACAAAAAAAAACAAAACAAACGGCACTCTGTCATGCCAACAGCAGATACAGAGCAGCATGGCTATTGGGAATTCATTCATTATTTCCTTCGTCATTCAAGAATGTCCACTGCAATTGGTTATTTTTTTAAGTTATAAGCTGTGGTGATTCTAGCACACCTGATTTAAATTGTATTACCTCCTCAGGATGCTCTGAGAAGATTGTTCTGTTACATTTTTAATTAGAAGTCGACAGATTTCACTTGGAAGCTAAACAGAAAGATCTTAGCAACATTAACACAAACAAAATAATTGAGAGAAGTTTGTGGGTTTCTATTCATGGCTGCCTCACAGTGGCACAACAAAAAAAAAACTGTTGGCAAAAGTCTGAGGATTTGTTTCTCGTTCAACCTTTCAAATAACAGCTTCATTCAGTGAGCATGTTTCTACTACTACCATTAGCTGCATTTCCATCGACCATATAATTGCGCAATTTGACGTTTAGAATGTAAATTTGCTTAATAAAAAATTCTTTTCAATAAAGAGTTTTGGCACTAGGATAAGATGATGTTTTGGCCGTATCAACATTGCAGTGGAGACACTTTTCGCATCACACGAGTCACGTGATCAACAACCGGATGTTGCTACTAGCGCAAACCACGAAGAAAAAGACGACAGGAAGTAGCTGGAGGATGAAGGTGTTTTTTAATGACTTATGTGAGCAAACGTATTCATGTGTTTTTTCAGCATTAGCAGAATATTGAGAAAGGTTGGCGCACATTTGAAATGGAGGTGCAGTTATTGTTTTTAGCTAATATTGCTAGCAGTAGTTAGGTAAATCTCACTGTTGGTTTCAAAACTTGAACTGGAGCATGGCTCAGTTGGATTAGATTCGACTCCCATAGCCCATTCCTGAATTGAGATGTGGAAAAGAACTTTAACCGAAATCGCTTCTCGTTTCTCTGTCGTCCGTTTCAGCTTATATTGGGGTCTCTAAAATTTCCTATGTTCCACCGGTTCTATGTTACTTTACTTTGTTCCTTTGTATTTATGTCCCGCAAGCAAATGTTTAGTGTCAACATTTCTTCTAATCACCACTAAAAGCAGCCCAAATCCAACCATTGGTACTAACTTCACAGTATATTGAAGTTTGTAACAAATAACAAGGAACTACCTCAAATCAGGTGGACTCTCGTGCTCTCATCATCAATTTCCCAATAAACCAACATCAGCACTTTCTGTGAATGGCTGTGCTGGAAGGAGGTAGCAGCAATGAATGCTAAATAGGACAAGGCTCTATTACATGCAAACAGTACTTCCCTGTTCACATGAGTAACTAATGGCCTCCTAGCATCCTCATCTGACTTGAATTATTCTGAAGACCTCAGCAGCAACAAGGAAAGTGTAAGAGGGTGTAACAGTTACGTAATTCTCCACTTGGCCCTAACCAGTGGAATAAGTCATTTACATGAGCTAATTTAGAGGGATGGGCTCAGAGCCACGGACACATCCAAAGCAAACAAAGCATATCCTGGCAAACCTTTCCTGGGACAGACTGGCTGCGAGAAGAAGCTAAATGAAAAGACGCCCCTCTGAAGCACAGCTGATCAGAAAACTGATCTTTCTAATGTTGGGTTTCATCGAGGTGTTAATGGGTCTCAATTTTCAGGAACTGATGGCACTTTTTGTTCAAATAAAGTGAAATTACTTGGAAGATAAACACAAAAATCTTAGCAACATCAAGTGTACAAAACACATTTGCTGATTTAAGTAATATCCTGTATTTCCTTACAAAAACTGTTTCCTGCATGTTAAATTGCATCTTCGGTTCTCTCTCTTTATTGTGTGAAAGGAAAACTAAAAACTTTGTTTACATCATCTCAGCAATAAAAAGTAAAAGTCTTGTCAATTTAAAACTTTATTTTTAACCAGATGTATTGTTGACAGGCTCCATATTACTGCCACAGAGCAGCCGATGGTATGCTGCTACCAGTATGCATCATTACAGTGCCTGGTTTACACATATATCAAGTTTTTTTATATATAAAACAGTTTTTCCACCAGCCCCAAATCTTTTACATTGTCAAAGCTAATTCAGAACATTATTGTTTCTTTGAATTTTTAGAGAACGATGTATTTCTACCACTTAATTTCTAAAAGCTATTGAAATCAAGAATTCAATTTGGGCTCACAAATGACTAATGTAGATTTCTCCAAGCTTCTACTGTTTAAAATCTAAACTCATAAAGACAAGAATATTCAGTGGTGAACATTGGAGGTAAGGGCGACACATTCAAATTAGTCCAGACGAGGCTGAAGTGTTTTGGAATGACAGCAACTCTAACAAAGTGCTAGGCCTCATAAAATCACAGCAGTTTTTCAGTCAGGCCATTGAGGAGTTTTAGTATTCATTTCGCCACAGATTGTGGCAACTATGTTGTTCTTGGCATTTTCAGACTTGACAGTCACATGCGATTCAGTGGACTATGGAGATGTAATCTCTCGCTTACAGCAGTGGGAGGGTGCAAGGGGCATTGCTCTGGATGGGTTCAGGTCCTATTTGTCTGGGCGTACATTCTGTGTCAGCTTTGGTAGATCTGCATCCTCACAGGTCTTCCTTTTGGAGTTCATCAGGGCTCAGTCTTAGGTCCCTGTTTTTTTTTTTCCTTCTCTGCTCCATTTTTATGTAGAATGGTATACACTTGCACCGTTATGTGGATGATGTGCAAAGTTACCTGCCTCAGCAGAAAGGGCGCCTCTTTGGTTTACTGGACTGCCTTGACGAGATTTGGGTTTGGACGTCCTTAGACATTTTGAGTTTCAATGAAAAGAAAACTGAAGTTACGGTTCTTGGCAGCGCCTCCACCTGTACCTCCCATGATCTTAGTTCTCTTGCAGACTTTATAAAGGCAACTATTACAGATAATGTTCATCCTCGAGCTGCAGTCTACACAACCTGCTATTGGAAAAGCAAAAGACAAGAGATGAATGGATGGATGGAAGAAAGGAAGTGTGAGGTGAAGACAAAATGAGCAAAAGTTGCAAATACTTATGGAATCGAAATATTAAATTTAACAGTTTAAAAAATAAGTCATCTTGTCATTATTAAATGATTGTTTAAATAATTACAAGAAAAAATGTGCTTTATGAAGTTATCTGGAAAAATAACTCTTAATAATCTTTTAAACACAGAGTTTCATGCAAATATACAAAAAATGTATTTGAATTACTGAGAAAAGACAAAGGAAGAACGCTATGGGTCCACCAAAGCTATACTGTACAAAATAATTTATTTTATTTATGTCACAAACTGTTTAAAAACGTGTAACATTCAAGTTGCAAAAATATAGACAATTCACAAAATCCCTACACTTCAAACGCTATAAAACAGCAGAAAAAGAAGAATAATTATCTTCTAGGAAAAAGGTTTGTTAGGTTTACTACACAGAAAAACTATAAAACTCTAAGACAACACGTGCTTTCTTTGTAAGTTTTCCTTTACAAAGAAAAGTCTAATCAGCTCTGTGCTCAATCAGCACAAACAGAAACAACTTTCTGTCCTGCGGTGAGTCCATAAGTTTTAGATTCTGAATTGAATCTAAGGGATATTCAGTGGGCGTCATCTGTGTCGTACATTGCTGTTACGGGAAAAAAGCCTTTCAGGATGTTTACACTGACCTCACAGATGTAGTAATAAATTAAACCGTGCAGGGAAATGTGTACTTTAAATGTGTTACTTTCTTCTTGTATAAAAGTCATAAAAGTGTGTGATATCGGAGCAGTGTTGCCCAGAAAGAGCAGTTTGAGAAGCACAAGTATGTAAAATCAATTCCTCTTTTCAGTTCTGGTCTCGCTACATTCTCACTACTGAAAAACTTCTTTATTTGTGTGTGTGTTCTTGTGACAGTGCTATAAAAAGTCCTGAATGGATCAACTCTCTCATTTAACATTTAGTTAGATTATGAAGTGAAAAAAAAAACAATATCAAAAATATGGAGCTATTTGAGAAAATGTGCTGATTTCAGATAGTCTACACATATAGAAAACATATTACCCCCTGTATCAGGAAAAGTGAGGTTTTCCCACAGGTATGGGTACGGTTCTGATGACCTGGTTCTGGAAAACGAATCTCTGGATGCGTTCAAAGACCCAAATGAAGATCAGGAGGACGCTGACATACTGGATCCAGGCAAACTTGACAGTTTCCCAAAAGCCGGGTCGGTAGGTGGAGGGAGGCAGTTAAGGTGCAAATGTAGTTCTGTCAGCAGAATCTTTATTTGGCTTTCAATGTGTTCTTCAGTCCAGATTCCCAAAATGCCTCAGTGTGTTTGACTCACCTGGTCTGAACTAGATGGTCAGAACAAGTTCATGTTTACAAATATTTACACGTCTCATTACCGTTTTTAGGGAATATTTCTGTATTAAACTTGTTGCTTTTCAGCATTCCTTACATAACTGTGTAATATGTTCATATCCAGTACAAATAAGTAAAAATAAATCAAATGATGGGGAGTTTTAGTTGTGTAACTTGTGTCATATTCTTTTTTTTTCTTTTTTATTATGTCCGTTTTATGGCATTTTAAATGATCAGAGCTGGAATTTCTTGATGAAAATAAACTGGGAATGTTTTTGGAAATGGTTACAGTCACTAGCCTAAACCTACTACTTATTTGTCTAATGTAACATTTTATACTCCCAAGTATAGAGCCCACCTTAAAATAAAGCACAGGCCCAATCCCGTCTCTGTTCTTGTTAAAGGATATCTGATGATCTCCAAGGGATAACGGATTTCAGCATTCAGCTCAAAGGGGGAGCCATCAGCTCGACCCACGGTCCAGACGAGCACTGGACCGGACAGCACCGTCGACACTAAAGGTCAGAGAACACAGCAAAGAAAATTATACGTTTCAATCCCAATGCGGAGAGATGGCAAGCAAACAAAATGACTCCCTTTGCCAACTTACAGTTTCTCTCCTGGTAGCGCCTCATGATGTTGATCAGGTCGTATGAACTTGCAAAAAGGCTGGCGCCGTCGATCACTGAGACCTTCGCAACAAAACAGAGGAGACTGGATGACACCTGAGAGCCCGATTCTGAACAAGCGCAGAATGTGGCTGACGCACTAAATATAAGTTTGAAGGGAGATGGCGCATCCAAATCTGCCCCAGGGTCCTGACTGGTGGCAGAGCCTGGATGACACAACTCCTGAAATCATTCAGTAGTACAACGCTTCATGATAAGCATTCTCTGACTTTCTGGCACAGTTTAAAGTGTCAGCACCGGTTATTTACGTTCCAGTTATTGTCTATATTTACTGTAGTTTTGTTTTCCATCTTCTCATACATTTACTTCCTAATTCTTCTCTCCACTCAATCATAAGTTTCCAGCGAATGGTTTTTGTTTTTTCACATTCTGCTCATCTTTGGCTTTATGTGAGATGTACAATCTGAAAGGTTGTCTCTAAAAGACAGACAGCTGTATTTAAAGTGCTAGCACCCCAGGAGAGTGTATGTGTGTGTGTGTGTGTAAGTGTAGGCGTGCTCTCTTACGTTGTAAGTATTGTGGAGCCCCCGGTGAGGCAGGGGAATCCTCTGCTGCAGCCTCAGGTCTCCACTGATGAACATCTTCGCTCCGGGCACAGGAGACGAGTGCTGCACAAACGCAAGGCTCTGCATCACTACAGTGGACTTCCGCTGGAGAAGAAAAGCGGTAATGTAAGAATAATCTCTGCTGCATCCTTATTTTTTTTTTTTTTTTACCTGGATGGTTTACAATTATTTACTACATATTAGGTAAAAAAAAAAAAAAAAGATGTAATTTACATAAAGAATACATACAAAAAGCTGGTAGCTGAAGGTGAGCAGCAGCTGAATACTGTATACATGCTCATCAGACTTCAGAGGAAGATGCAGCTGAAATGTCAAGAGGTCCAACTTCCCATCTTGGTTCTGGTCTTCTTCTCTCACCTATGATGCAGATACATAAAGAAATAGAAGAAAAAGCGTTTGTCTAAGACTGTTACAGTTTCCTAACCTGAACACGATAAGACGGAGACTGAAGAAGGGATGTAATTTTAAACACTGACTGATGTCAAGAAGGGCAGCAGGTAAGCCACTTGTTTCAAAGAAAAGCATAAAGTGTGGATTTATATTCTGCACAGAGCACTAGAAGAGGAGCGGAATAGAGTTATTTCCTCTGAAGAAACCTTGTCTGTCTGGAACGTCTGAAAAAAGAAAGTCTCTCTGGACATGCCAAGTAGATAGTAAACATCACTCCTCCTCCAAGAAAGTGGACTAACTCAGTTTTATATAGAAACACAGCAGTGAATAAGGAAAACATTCTCTAAAAGCAACTTTGGTCAATGGTCAAAAAGAAATTTGGTGAACTCATCAGATCTAGATCTAAACCTGTCTTAAATAGAAACTAAGTAATAATGATGATGATGATGATGATGGAGCAACACTCGGTCGCCATCGATGAAGATGGTGCAAAAGTGACTTTCAGGGGCATTAAAAAAACAAAAGCAGACACTCAAATTGTTGAAGCTCTTTCAATGTCATAAAACATCGTACAGGAAAAGATCACACTGCATCCTTTATAAAAGCTGTTGATGTTGTGATATTATCAGTGTTTAGTTCTTACAGAGACGGCGGGAATCCTTAGGTTGGTCCCAAGCATGTTGTTGAGATGAGGAAACGTGCTCCAGGCAACGTAGTCTCCCTGTAAACTGGTGGCTGCGAACAGCAGGGTTTGGTACTGGAATCTCACCACTGGCTGTTCTTCATAAGTTTTTCTCTTAATCCAGAAACCTGAAATAGAAACAACAGCCCAGAACTGAAAATGCATTGTCCAGCTGTACATTTCACTACAATTTAAACATTTATTTCATAATAATATTTTATAATTTGCGCTTCATATGTACACTCTACAAGAACCTTAGAAGATGCAGAGTCTGCAAATTCACCAAGTTATATCCAAGATTTTTTAATAAACAGATAAAACCTAATTTTAATTGGTATTTATAATCGGTTTTGCAGTCACTCTGAGGCATGAAATTAAAAAACTTGACCTAAATATCTACAAATTGCAGTGTCTTCGTTTATTAAACAAAAGTTAAGCAAAGATGGGCAAACTGCAAGACACACCTGAGTGCATCCCATGATGCCACACTTACAGCCATCTAATGCTCACGTTGTTGCAGTAAAATGTTGGTACACTCTTATTTAACTTTTCTCCAATTCACTGAGACTTCTTTCACATTATTTTCAGATCGTCTGAACTTTGACTAGGCCACTAGTCTTAATTTTCGTTTTTCAGCGATTGTGTTGTGGATTTGCTCCTGTGTTTAGTATAATTGTTCTCAGTTTACCAAGATTTAGCTGTCACAACGAGTTTGCCTCACATTTGACTACTGAGGTGATAGTTTTTATTCTGCCAAAAACCTTAAGTTTGATGAAGTAGTCTTAAAGGTGTCACATGCAACTTTGCAAATCCATGTTATGCTCCCTTATAATAGGAGTTTGCAACTCCAGTTCTCGACCTAAACCATTTTTTGTCGTTGTTCCCAGCAGTTATGACAGCATTATCAGCGAATTAACACATAGGGACTAGAGCAACATTAAAAAAAACAAAAACAAAAAAAACAACACCGCTGTACCTTGGCTTCTGTAAGCGACCAGCAGAGGCGCGATGTATGTGAGGCACAGAACAACCACCAGGAACAGGGTGGCCTTTGTACAAACGCTGGTTCGGTACCGGACCAGAGCCGGATGAGAGTACACTTCATAGAAAGCCATCGGTGATGCTAAAGCTAGCGAAGATGCTAACCGAGTGATCTAAAGTGAGCAAACATTCACACAAAACAAATTGAGGTGAATAACATATTGCTCCTGTTAGGTAACGTCCATCTAGCTGTCTCCAAAGTGGACTTTACGTGCGTAATATTGACAAAATGTGGCGTCTACAGATGCTAGCGGCGCTAGCTTTCTTCTAGCGTATTAGCAGCCACCGCGCCATGTCTAGCGTCAAACGGTTTCCATGGCTGCCATTTTTAGCAGCCAGGGTGCGTTCAAGTACCGTTGGAGCTTATTTTAAAATAATCTGCACATAGGTTGAAAAGGGTAAAACTTTATATTGGGAAGTACTTGTAGCACAATTTTCATAGGATATCATGGAATGTTATTTTATTTATTTATGTATTTATTTATTTACTGCTGTTTATCTTACTATAATCTCTACAAATTTAAGTTTATTTTTGGTTGTTCTCCATGTTTTATTTTTGTCTGTTTGGTTTTTCAACGTTGTATGGCGTTACAGTTTAGGCAAACGGTATAGTGGGTCTGGTAGCCCTACATCGTCAGGGCAGATTTGCTTACAAAGCCGGAATATTTGATTTATTTTACTAATTCCTTCATCATGAGAAACCATATTAGATTTGTTACACAGAGTGGCACTTCAAATGCGTCTTTTGATTAATTTAGGTCATAAATGACGACCCAAAAATCCTAAATCTAATATCAACCTCAGAAAATTTGAGTAGATGATTGGCAACAGATTTTCCCACTTGCTAAAGAAAATCTTCATGTAAATCTGCATGGACTTTGTCAGGGCTTCTTTTGCATGAATGACTACCCAAACACAGCATGACATGGAGGCGGTGAGCCTATTCAAAGCCTGCACATCTTTATTAGCACCCTTCAGCTTACATGCACCATTGGCTCTGGCTTCTCGTCTTTTTCTTAACAATAATTTATAGATTCACAGTGGGATTAAAAACGCCATTTTCTACTGTAGTTTTTCCATCCACTCGACTTTCAATAAATATGTTTTGACACACAAACAATTTTCCTGGAGGGCATCAATGATTTGCCTTCTGGACAACTCTCAAGTCAGCAGTCTTCCCTATAATAATGTATGTTAATATACATTTCATATATGACGATGTTCTAGTTTACTAAGATGGACGCGTGAAGGCGCATATACTGACTGTCTGAGAGTGCACCTGAAAGCAGCAGCGCTCCGTCAGACGATGACGTCACCCTGTGTTAGACGGACAGCTGAAAGGCAGAGACTTCTTGTTGACGTTTTGTTTTGATCGCGTTTGTTTGGATTTTTTTTGGACGTTTCACCAGCATTCTCAGCGGATCCAGAAGCTCGTACCGTCACGCCTCAGTGCGGGGATCCTGCAAAGATGAAATGGATGTTTAAAGAGGACCATTCCCTCGGTAAAATAAAAAAAAAAAGAGAGAGAAAGAACATAAAACAGAAAAGGGCATTGGATTGTTATGAAACGGGAGCTGATTCTTGTCTTGTCACGCATCTTGATCCCTTCTTTCCTTTCTGTTTTGCAGTTCCCGCATTCATGTTTTTTTTCTCAATTTCCCCTGATAGGCGCATTAATGCACGTTTGGGGGGTTTTATTTCCCCCTTTTGCAACCTGCAGATGAATGCTGTAAATCAATAATGGCTGGCGCTTCGGCTGTAGCAACCTCTAATAACGTGTCTTTGCTGCAGGATAGGGGCTTACAAAACAAATTAATCAGCTGGTTGCACCTTAAAATATTACCTCGTGTGTGCATGTGTTTATTTTATTAATATGATCAAGTTTAATTGCTGAAATTAGCGAGTTGAGCAACTTCTTAAGGGTGTTGACCCGCAAGGTTATTTAGCAAAATTACATTTACCTGTACGCAGATGCCAGAATTTGTGTTTTTCACGCACAATTTACCTCATGCTATGATTTCTGTAGCAAATTATTGAACTTCCATATATGACTACTAGTGTTTCTGAACTCAAGCTTTTATTTTGAAACTCTCTTTAGATAACCTCCAAGCTCCTTTCTTTAGAGGAACATCCCAAATTAGCCCCTCTATCTAGGCTAATGAAGGCCTGCACCTAAATGAGTCCTTCCACATTTTACCACCTTTCCTGACCTCCGCTCATTTTTCTGCCTGCTGTGGCAGCTTCTGGGCTCCATGACAGCACTGAATATACCTCATAAAAGGTGCCAGATTCAGAAAATGTTGTACTTGTGTGCATGAGCAAGCATCAGCTTATCTCTCTGCTTGTTGTGTTGTGCTTTGTTGCTGAGCTCTCTATCGAACCGGGCCCGGCTGCAGAGCAGCAGAGCAAGAATCCCAAGAGGCCTCACTCATCCCTTTAATCTCTGACTTCCTGTTTGTTTGCTGTCTCTCCCCCAGAGCACCGATGTGTGGAGTCAGCCAAAATACGCAACAAATACCCGGACAGAGTACCGGTGAGTGGTGGGGGAGGGGAGGTGCTCCTTTATTTTAAGGCCGCCGAGGTTCAGATGAAGTGACAGAGAGTCAACAAATAAAAGCAGAGGCAGGGGATAGCTATTTATCACTTCTTTTTTAGGCGACGGTGTGGTTGTGTCAGTCTGCATAATTCCACAAATATTTTTAATATGCTTATTTAAGGCACAAAGAAGTATGATTTGCATCACTTAACATGACTTACTGTCGCTTTCTTTCAATATGACCCCAGTGCGATCAGCCATGTAGGCCACATTTGTGGAAAAATGCTGGTTGAAACGTTTTTCAATCTCTGCAGTTCCTCCAGAGTTACCCTGAGGTTCAGTTGCTTCTCTGATTCACTCTTTCAGTTTAGTTGGACGATCATGTCCTGGCTGCTGTACTCTCAGTGTTCAGATGATGGATTTAGCAGAGCTCTGTGAGATATCCCAGGATTGGGAAACTGTTTGATAATTTAATCCTGCTCCAAACTTCTCCAGGATGTTCTCCCTGACCTGACTGCTTTGTCCCCTGGTTTCCATGCTGCTCTGGGTTACCGCCCATATGGCTCCTACCAAAAACTGCAAATTCAAGCCAAAGGTTTAAGAAAACACATTTAGAAACCCACGTATAATTTTTCTTTCCACTTCACAGTGATGGATATCTTTAAGTGGGGCTGTCACATAATACCCCATCACACAACACATTGGTTGAAATGTGACACAGTCTCAAAAAGTTAAAGAGCCATGAATGCTTTTGTAAAGAACTGGATTTTAAAGCTCCCTATTGTTAACATTTTAACAATAAAACTCAGGATTTCCCCCAGAAAACTTGCTAAGCCCAGTGTGTGCGTGCTGCCGCCGGCCATGTTTTTGAGTTAAAAAAATGTTTAAAGTTGACAGAAAATTTAAAAATATCACTTGATATTTATGCATTATTGGAAGACTGGAAGATTTTTGCCTAAACACCAACAAAGAAGTCTTCAAAAAGTCAATAATAATTAAAAAACTAAGATAAGTTAACAATGCCAAGCCTGGTGGGGGCACAAGTAAAGCCTGGTGGCCCGCCAGGCTTATAATACACTGAGGGAAAACCTCAAGCTAGTTTTTAGATGATGCAATGTTTTGTTTTGTTTTTCTAAATAACAGCTTAACATATTTGTACTCTCTTTGACTTATAAAAATCTAATTTTGTTGCATTGCTGCATATCTCATTAGATGTGCATAAATATATTTAATTGTAATCATCATTTCAATAAAAGCATGTGATACAATGGAGACACACATGTATATTATCCCACCAGTTGGACTTACTCAGAAAATGTAATAATTATTCTTGCTAAGTGACAAAGTCCCATCACCTCCATTTATCCTGATTTATTGTACCGAATCGTCTTCTGTTGAACTGAAACACTGCATGGTGACTGAGAGGTGAGCCGCACAGCGTTTGCTGCTCATGAATCTTTAATGTATCATCAGACTGATGGCAATGCAAAAAGATACGCATGGCATCGGCTGTAAAGCAGATATAGCTCTTCCAGGGGGATCCTGAGGTGTTTCCAGGCCGGAGAGGAGAGAGATAATCCCTTCAGTGTGACACGGCTCTGTCCCAGTATCTCCTCCCTACCTGGAGCCGCTGACGGCTCCTCCGACCATGAATCAGCAGAGTTTCGGCTCGGAGCGCTCACCTCGCAGCGCTTTACACTGAACATGTCACTCCCGCTGTCAGTTTAAACTCGCCTCATTCCCTCAGTTTTCACCCAGGATTCTGACAGAAATACAGACTGAGCTAAAAAAAAAAAACAAGAGCGCGGTTCGCTCTGCTCTTCACGGTCGAACGTGGTCAGAGATTCTGATCCTCCTCCGCCTGCGCCATTTGTGATGGCAGGTGAAGGAGGCCAAAAGCAGAGGAAGAAATATCTGACCATCAAACCGTGTGCTTTTTGAGTAAAACAGGATGGTGCAGGAAAGGGGTTTACCATTTATATGAGCTTAAAATAATGTATATGTAACAAATAAGAACATTTATTCAAACAGATATTTGAACCAGATAAAGTAAAACTTTCCAGAATCCTGGAAATGCTTGTCATAGAGGACAAAATTCACAGTGAACGGGTTCTTCTTTTAAGGGCCAGAAGTCCCAAAATTAAAGAAATAAATGTTTGTGATCATAAAAATAAAAACCATAGAATATGAAAGTATAATATATTACAGTGTCATTAATATCTACAATAAGCAGTACAATAATGAAATACTGAAATAAATTATTAAAACTTCATAATGTTTGAAAATGACGTGTAAATATCTCATATTTGATTGGTGTATATTTTGTATTCCACAGTTTATCATGAAATAATTTAAGCCAATCACGTTGCTTTTAGCAGTGTTAGCCCCGCCCACTAACTCTGACAGACAGACAATATAATTTCATAATATGTAACAATAAGACTGTGAAATCATTTAAATTAATTTAAAACATCCATAATAATTGATGCTTTTTAATGTAATTAATACTTATTTCATGTAATTATTTCCACATACATTTTACTAATTACATATAATTATTCAATATTTAATGTGTCCAGCATAAATATTTATATAAATTTGATACGTGTTGAATTGTGGCACCTTTTGGTTTCCGTCCTGCTCTATTCTGGAAAAGTCTCTCACTTATTCGCTGCAGCTAAATTAATCTCTTGCCAACTTTGCATCCTGCTGCACAGATAAAACGTTGCAGCTTTACATAGTGCTGCATGTTTAAACACGGGTG